AAAAAAAATTTTTTTTCTCAAATTTTCAACAATATCAAAATAAAGTGGATGTTATAACCAGTACTTCAAGTAAAATTAGTCATTTAGACATAAAAAATTTTTAAGTTGGCATAAGTTGCCTAAAATGTTATAGTGTGACAGAGCCTTAAGGGGCATAAGCTGCACATAGTCCGAGTCATAAAACAATTTCAGATAACTGTAAGTGTGGTGAAGCCAAATAAGTGTAAAATCTGCCTGCCATACAATGAGCTTCTGCCTGCTGAACTTATCAGCTGCTGCTCTGCTGCGCTCTCATCTTCATCATCTTCATCATCTCGTGCAGCAGCAGCGATTGAACTGGGGTTCCACAGGAGCTTTCCAGAGGGAGCTGGCAGACCGATCGGGACTGTGCCAGTCCAGTCCACCCAAAGCTGAGTCATGACCAACGGAACGGTCTCATCCATATGATTCTAACTCTCCAACATCACGTCATGTCATGAAAACTCTCCACTGAAGCGCAGAGACTCGTTTCTTCATATCGGCTATAAAATAAACAAAGATCTATGTTCTACCAAACATCTGAGTTCCTCTGTGTTTACAGTAATTATGGTATTAAACTCCTGTGTAAAGTTAATATTTCCAGACTCAGAATGGATGGATGAGCCGGTTGCGCAACACTGTAGCTTCCCGTGCGCACACACACCGACACAATCACTCGTTCTTTGCATGACACACCTATTTTACTCCTGTTTTTACTTAGGTTTTTTTTTCTCACACATTATATTTTAATTAGGGCTGTCAAATGATTAAAACTATTAATCTATTCCAAGGTAGCTGTGAATTAATCATGATTAATCTTAAACTTAATATAAAACTTTTAATTTTTAAATATCATTTATTTATTAGATAAATAAAATAAAATAAGCCACAAGAAGACAAAAATAAAAAAAAAACTGTACATAATGTGTTACACATGGAGTTTTTTTATATTATTTATTTAACCTTTATTTATCCAGGTAAACTGTTTGAGAACCACTTCTCATTTACAAACATGACCTGGCATGCACTGAGTGCATTGCGATATACAAACCTACATATTCAGCCAGAGTAAAGTGATTGTAAATTTTTTTTATCACGATTAAAATTTTTAATCTATGCCCATGCAGCACTAAAATTAATCAGAGTTAACTCGATTAATTTCACAGCCCTAATTTTAATTCWTTATTTTCCTGAATCTAGAAATCATTTCTGATCGCGCAGGGATCATACAAACATGTCCTTCACACATGCAGGAAGTAATTTGCATCTGTTTAACATATGTTAATGAAGGCKTGTCAGGGGAGGTGTCTCATGTGCGCTCAGTTCCACGTTGATTGTGATGTACAAAAGAAATGTGTGTGGATTCAGGCGTACACACGGTTTGATACATCTGGATTTTTTGTGCGTATGCAGTTTTCTGGATTTGACTGTAAGAAATCCACGCAATTGGAGTACATGAGGCCCCTGGACACCCCTTCTCTAGACCAGTGGTTCCCAACCTATTTTCCTCAAAGTCCTCTTTTCTTACTTCCAAGCCAAGCTGAGACCCCCACAAAAATCCCTGTCTTCTCCTCACCTTTCATAAAGACATGTTCAGCTTTTATCTCTTTATCTATATAATAAAGTGAGAAGTTATCAACTTTTATTTGGAAAAGGAAAAAAAGAAGAGCTGAGTCAAACAAGGTTTTCATTATTCCAATGGACTTGTTTTGGTGATTTTTATTTTTTATATAAATACAAACAATAAATCTATATTTTCACAACCTCTGACCAGAAAAGGTCCAAGTTGTCAAGACAGGACAATTTATCCCGTGTTTTATAGCCCCTACCTCACCCCCCTAGGCCCTCTAGGTTAGGAACCATGGCTTTAGACTGGGTTTAGTCGACATGATGAGAACTACTGAATTAATAAAACATAAATAATTGMAAGATCTACGAGAATTTAAATTCCATTTTCTCTTATAGGTCACAAATAAGTTTTGTAAGTTACCTTTTTTTTCTTGCTTCTGGCTTTTTTCTTTATTTACGTTTTTTTTTTTTCAATTAGGAGTTTCTGTGGAAAACATCCTCCATTCTCTGCCGTGTCTCCAAGGGGAATTGTTTCTGAAGAGAGAGAGGAAGATGGCCCAGGTTCAGACGCTGGTTCTCAAAGAATATCTTAGTAAGTGCAACATTTGAAGATTTGGGATATAACATCAAAACTAAAAAAAAAAAAAAAAAAAGAAAGGAAGAAAAAGAAAATTAGGATTCATCATCCTGCAAGATGATCAAAGATCGACAATTCTAAGAGCTATAATAAACATTTTAGTTAAAAAGATTTCATTTTCAGGCACTGAAATCTATAAAATGTCATTCATTTTGTTAGACAAAAGTATTTGATCAGTAAGAAATGATCCTTTTCTAAACATTTTTTTCATACCTCAAATACAGAACAATCTTTACTGTGACCTCAATTTGAGATCAATTTCAGCAGTTTTAAGTTAAATATTTATCTGATGGCAAATTACAGCTTGCTGACTAAAACTATGAACTTGTTTACATTTGTTAGTCTGCTTGTAGGTTATTGGTTTTACAGAAGCTGGGACTAAATGTGTCACCTGGTTAAGTGGAAGCTGGTATTCTGATTTCAAGTCCTAGTCCAGAAAAAAATAAACATACGTCTGGATGAAGGTCATGCTTTCTTTTAGTAGCTTCTTTTTCATTTCAAACACCTCACAGGTATTACAAATGGCCAACCTTGAGATTTCCTCATCGCCCCCACTGAAGATGTTAGTGCAAATTATCTCTGCTGTGTTCAAAACCCATAAAGAATCAGATAAAAATTGTCAAGTTATGAGCTTTTTGTGTCAGATTGGTATTTCACCAGTCAAGCTTGGTAGTTTAAATGTTGATTTGATTTAGTTACCAAATGTAAATGTTTGTTTTATTCTGTCACAGCCAGTTGTTCATTGCAATGACTAACATTTGTGTATAAATTTGATGTTATATACATTAAAGTTGTAGCGATGGAGTCCACTCCAAGTTTCCTGAAATGTTGCCAAATCTCGTCTCTCTCCAACCCCATTATTTCACAGACACACATAATTTCTGCTTGGCAGGCAAAGATACCGACACACCAGTGGAGTGGAGCCAGATTAAAGGAAGTGGAGTGAAAATCTTCATACTTTAGGGGAAGAAGTGGGTCTATTCTTTGAAAAGGCCACGATCCGAGTGTAAAATCCTGACAGACTTGGAACCCTAATGAAATTCATCGCAATTTATTTAGTCTTGACATTAAATTGTGAACTGGTGTGTCCGTGAAAGTTGCAATAGTCTTGAAGGGTTATTCCAAGTTTTTTTTTTTAACTTCTGTGAACTGTATGTGTGCGTGCGTTCAGAGTCATGGCTTTGTCTTTTTTTATCTTTTGCACCAGTGTGTGTTCAGTGTACAAGCTGAAACRTCTGTGTGTGTGTCAGGAACTTCATTTATCATTCTCTTTCAATTTTCCTGGATCTCTCTTTACCACAAAACTTGAAAAAACCAATTACACATGCAGTAATACATCTCACGACTTAACAAATTAAAGAATTATTAAAAAACCTTCTGTCTTAAATTTATTTTTAATTTAATGACAACAGTCTTTTATGGCTCAATTGTTCTTTAGGAGAAAAAACAAAACAAAAAACAAGGCCTATTAATTTTATTTCACTTTTAAATGGAAGCTAATTTAAAAAAATACATACTGGTTTTACTGTGGACACCACAGTCAAAGTTTTCCAGTGAGCTTGAAATCTAACGTTACCAAAATAAATCCTTGTGTGTGTTTGTGTGTAAACCAGGACAGAAAGAAGAAACCTCGGTGCCCGTCAGTGACTTGAAGGCCATACTGAATCTTGCCAGGGAGCAGTTTCTGAAGATGTTTGACTCCACTCTTSCCGCTGCTGCCACCTGTCTGACAAATGAGCCCACTCCAAAACACTCAGGTATGAACTACGAACGAGACCAAAATAAACCGCTTCTTTTCACTGCCTGGGCCCTGACTGTTTGAGTAAACAATGACAGAGTATTATTTGCAAATGAATAGTTGATAGTAAAACAAATTACAGCTTGCAACCACGTTGTAAAATAATAGCTTTGGGGCTAATAGACCAAACTGTCATGGAGTTTCAATGTGATAAATGCTATGACGTTATTTGCAAAAGTTTGGCTTGTTTGCAGAATATCTCCCATCATTTTGTTTTTTGTTCTTATTGTTCACTTATCTTGTGTAGCAACATTAGCATAAACTGTCTTTTTTATCAGTACCATTATCATCATTTTTTTTCTCTGTGGCATTTACATAGATTTAGCTTTTCTAGACCTTTCACCAAAGAAAACACTTGAATTATTTTAAAATATGAACCAGCAGGCATCGGGAACAGCACTGATAAGTTGGTGAGCAGATGTACAGACATGCAGTCTGAAGTGCAAATCAGCCTATTTACCCTAAGTCCCTTCTCGCCCTCTGTTCTCCATTAGGTGTATGTTTTGCATTTCTGTGTCTCTGTTCCCCTGAAGCTGTGACTTTGTGTGGGCTGACAAAGCTTTGGAATGGTGCTTCGGTCCTTTTCATACAAGGAATTTTTCATCCTCAGCCCATTACTCTGCACGCGCTCACTTCATCTGTAAAACTGTTGTTTCCAGATGTTTATTTCTGTCCTATTTGATGTAAATATATGATTGTTCCTGTTCAAGCACAAGAGAAGTGCAGAGTTGGTGATATTTTTGGATGCACAAAATTCACTCACTCATTCATTCGGTCTCTTTCTGCCAAGTGTTTAGCATGCTGACCAGCAGATAACTCTGACAATCCATCAAGCAGCTCTTGGTGCTTATATCACACAGCTTACAGAAAGTGCGACTTTGTTCAAGATGCAACAACTTCTGCTCTTGGAATCTGATTTAATAGTCTGTGACAGGTTTTCCTCACATCTAATATACGGTGCCACCTGTATAATGTCTTGCTTATTCTTCCTGGGAGTAGCGACTTTACTTCCCATAAGAAGCTGTGAACACTCATCCATCAGCATTTGGAAATGATAAATTCCTCCTGCTTTTTCCTCTTCAGTCATCAACTCTTCTGTGCTTCAGTTTTTCTTTTTGAGCTGAAGCCAAACAGAAAATCCGTGTCGTCTCCCCCCACCAAAGTAATCGAGATACATTTTATTGTATTTGCCAAAAATAGGTTTGTTACCCATTACCCTCACTCTCGTCAGCAGGCATGAAGGCCACTTCTTGAAACTTTTACAGGAGAAAGTAAGCTCCTATCTTAATGATCTACTAAACTGTGAGTTTGTTTAACAAGAGAGAGAATAAGCGAGAAAAATGATCTGCCTATCTTTTGCTGAAAGATCTCTGTGTGCATGTTTATACAGTAAAGGGTGTGGGTGTGTTTAGATTACTCATACTGTATGTGCAGTATCACRTTACGTGTCTCGATTCAGTTTGTTCGGTCCTCTGAATACTTAACCTCATTGTACATAAAACTTTATGAACGGCTCTGTTCACGCTAATCATTTCAGTTCTTAAAGCAGCAGCTCAAGTTTTTGAAGTGGGGTTCAAAAACCCCACAGCGCGTGTCCCATATATAACTGTGTTGTACTGAGTGAAATGACTGAAAAGGAACCGTGGTTACATTCATAACCTTAYGTTTTTCTGCCAGGTTGTGTTTAACTTTGCAACATGTTTCACACGGACCATTACTGGCGACGGATCGCAGTCAAYACATCTTCAGTGCAAATATGACCATCTGATGCCAGACAGAAAGATGTCTAGAGTTACAGAAAAACTTTGGGTTAAGGCACTAAAGCAGGGGAGTCAAACTCCATTACACAAAGGCGACAAAATTCAAACAAAWAAAGCAAAACTTGATTCAAGTCAAAGACCAATTTATGCCAGTGTTTATTGAAAATATGTTATAACATCTTATTCTTATAGAAATACAAATGACCTTTTCCAAATTATATTTTATGTAGTGTTTAGAGCACTAGCAGATAAGGAAAGGACATCATTAGCATTCATTTCTTATGCCTTACTCTCTGAACAACAACTCTTTTAAATTTATGTCTTAGCGATATGTTTTATCACAATCCAGCAAAACAGTTAAAAAAGAAAGCCCTTATTAAAAATTCAATATTTGACTTTAAAATAAGAAGGGAATCCAGAAAAAGATAACTACAGTCGGCTCTCTGTTGCTCTTTCCAGACCAAAATCAAAAATTACTGAAAAATTCAGATGTAATTTTCTTGGCTTGAAAGTTGTCCAGCTGCCATGAGAGGAAATGCACTAAATACAGTCGAGAAGAGAAACCATAAAACTATTTCACATTTAAAGTACAATCTTTAACAAGGGTTGCATGTGTGCTAATGGTTTAAAAGATATAGCATTAGCATGAACCACAATGAAACGTTAGCAAATGTTTTTGTTTTAAGACTAGCTGTTAACTCGTCTACCCTATGAAACTAATAATGCTTTTAACCATTTCTACTTCATGTCAAGACAACTGATTACTAAGGAAAGCTCCACAGAACACCACTTGAGAATTTTCAAAATATTTCTTAAGTATGTAAACAAATCCCTGTATGTATAAGTAAACATTGATTTGTTCAGATGAAATCTCATTTACATTTATAGCAAAGGACACAATAAGTCAAAGTTTTAATTGCGCTTTTTTTTTTCTTTTCAAAAAGTTAAAAAGTGTTCCCTTCTTAACTTTTTGAAGACAGTTGCCAAGGTATATTTTTGGAGTTTTTTTTTTTATCCTGTAGGTGTACATCTTATTATTTTTGTTTCAGGATTTCAGACCCGTTCTCACCAAGCGTCTGACTGGCCTGAGAGGAGCGTCCTGCTCAACATAGAACAGCTGCAGAGAAGACGACAGAGGAGAAGGTAAACAGGATTGTTTCTGTTGGGACTGTTTTAGCCCAGAGTGGACTTTTAAATCTTGAAATATTCAATCTTAATTTTGTTTTTGTGTTATTCTACATGTTTAATTTTACACTGTGTGTATGTGTGTGTCTTTTTAGGCATGGTTTGTTAGGCCCAGGATCCAGTGAAACTCTGCTGGGTCCCAAAGACAGCCAGAGGGGCTCCACTGCTTTACTGGATGCCAAAGAACTTCTGAAGCACTTCACATCTGATGGTTGGCCTACAGGGGATTTACAACCCCTGGCTATCAACAGAGGGTAGGTTCAGTGATCAGATTGCAGAGTGCATCTTCTCTGCTTCTTCTGCTAAGTTTTCCAGAGTGAGCACCAGCTGGGGTTTTTAAACCAGCCTTCAGTCCTGCAGACATGGCGTTTTCAGATAAACAAATTAGCACAGGCTTAGTGTGGGAAGGTAAACAACATATGTGTGAATTATATAGACTGGTCTCGCTGAATGACAAACACTTAATGAGCGTATTATTCTGATTTGATTATGAACACCTACAGCACGCTTTTGTTTAGAGTAGCAAAAAAAGTCAGAACAGCAATCAGTAAATACTAAAAAATATATATTTTAGACCATTTTTTTCTGTTTTAGTATGTTCATGTTCAGAGAGGAAAATCTTTTCATCTTACTAATTTGTGTTTTCTGTTTTGATGTCTTTTTTTGCTTTTTTTTCTTAGCAGTAATAACTTGTTTCAGCTGTCATCGAACCTCTCACCCAAGAGAATCAGCCAGATGCCCTTCAGAAAGGCTTCAGCCTCTCATTACCATGGCATAGAGTATGTTTACATCATCCTTTCAGCTGGYGCCCAGACTCAAACTGTACGTCTTTGCTTTTAACCACAACCCATCATGTGTTCTTATAGGTTCTGTCTGGATAACCAGAGCTCCCTTAATCGGGATCAGGCTTTTGCACGGCTCCAGTCCCGTCTGATTCGCTATGAGACTCAAACTACCTGCTCCAAGGAGCCCTGTGCCCTCCCCTTTGCCCTCAGCCCCGCCCCCTCTCCTGCTGTGATGTCAGAACCAGGAAGTGTGCCAGACGGAGAGACTCTTCAGAACAGTGAYGTCGCTCAGCTCAAACGCAAGTCCCGAGAAATGGATATTGTTGGCGGTTATCCTCGTAAGAGGTACYACGATTCATTCAGCTGCTGCTCAGCAGGTTGTGGATTCATGAAGACGATTAAAAGAAAATGTTTGACGTKAAACACCATTTTATATCTGTCTGATCAAGGCTGGTGAAGTCAGAGAGCAGCGACTCCCTGTGTTCTCAGAGCAGCAGCAGCAGCGGCACACGTTTCGACTTCAGGTCTCTACGACAACAGCCAATCATATCCAAGTCCACTTCAACCTCTACTGGTTCATCTTCAGCTGCAGGACGAACATCAGGTGAAAAAACTCAATGTTGGAATATAAACCATGTGATGTGACTGCTGACCCTTGTGTTTGAAGCCATTTCGAACAGGTTTTACATTTTCTACAACAGAATGAAATAATGCCCCACAGGTGGAGCCTCGTCACCAGTAACCCTCCTTGCTGTCTTCTGTCCTTATGAACTGCTCTTTGTCTGGCCTGTCACCATAGACTGTAGAGAAGAGTAGAGCTGTTTTCATTTGCCTGCTTGTTTGTTTGTTTGTTTTTTTGTGTGTCTCCCTTTTTTCCACTTCTTAGAGTAGGGCGAAAATATCAATACACTGAAATATCGCAGTATTTCATTTCCTTATACTTTACTGGTTCTTAAAAGCACTGTATCAATATTTAATTACGGCTTAAAATATAAACTTTCATGCCAGCAGTTCATTCATGTGTTGTATCCTCTGATGGCTAGTTGGCAGCAGTCAGTCAGCCATTTGGCTTTTCAACTTCTGAGGAGCGTGAGAGTGTAACGCTAGCTCAAATGGTAGCATTATGAGTAAACGTTAGCATTATGAGTAAACGTTAGCTAGCACTAATTACCGATAGTTGAATCTGAGCGGATTAGACTGACCATATGAAACACTGTACGCATGACTGCCATACTCACTCTCTTCATCCATTTACTGAACTGTAGGACAAGATATAGTAGGCTATTTTATTGTAGGGGTGACCGTTTTTTTTTATTATAAATTAGTATAAATCTAAAAGCTGCCACAAATATACAGTATTATCAGATCACTTAATGGTGCATTTAGCCTAACGAATAAAACCATGGATGAAATAAAAAATATGAAACATAAAATACATATATAACTGCGTTTTTTGTTTGTTTTTTTTATAAGAATTTTTGGGGAAAAATGGCAATGTATCGCGATACATTGCCTTACTTACAGTTTCATAATATATTGTTATATATCATATTGTGACCCCTGTGTATCGTGTTGCCAAATTCTTTCCAATACACAGCCCTTCTGAAAAGCGAGCTGAGCTGTAAGGCAAAGTGCTCTGGTTACCAGTCAGTCTACGATCCTTCCCTCACCTGTGGCCTTGAGCTCTGGGTAGTGACTGAAAGAATGATGGACACACATGGTCAAATTGAGTTTTCACCACAGGGTGCTGGGCTCTTATTATCCAGGAGAGGCTTGGAGTAGAGCCACTGGTCCTCTACATCGAGTAGAGCCAGTTTCGGTGGTTCAGGCATCCCTGGCATGTCCACCGTGAAGGAGAACCCCGGGCAAGAACAACAAGATGGAGAGACWAAAGATTCAATTTAGAACAATTTTTTTGCTAAGTTGTGATTTGTGTCGACACAACAAGCTCATCCTTTGAGTTTAGGAGTCTTTTATGTCTGATTCAGTTGTCAGAATTAAGTGGTTTAASAGACAACAAACTACTTTTCAGAAAATAATCACGTATGAGAGAAAAAGAAGCCCAAGTTCAAATAAAAAGAAAAATTAGAAGAAAGTTGGGCTTCTTTTAAGTAAAACATAAAGAAAAGAGGAATGATTTAAGACTTTTGCCTGTTSTGGATGTTGATTATTGAATAGAGCTGCAAAGTGAGCAATGCAATAAAAGCCCAAGTGTGAGAGAGAGAGAGAGTCAGAGAGAAGCTGGTGAGTCTGGACAAATGTAATCAGAGGTCTGACTTAGAAGTGTGTGGGCTGACCTTTCAGAGCAAAGAACCTGATTTGAATCACTTCCTTTTGTTTGGCTCTGCTGYGCTCTGGTGTGGCTGTAATGCCTTTTTGTTGCTAATTTTCCCTGTCCTGACTGTCYAGGTTCGGTGGCTCTTCCATGTCCTGACAGACCCAAGCCCCAACAGCAGACGGCCCCTCAGGGACACACCGAGGACAAACCTGCTAAAGAGTCCCGCTCTCAGAAACACAACAGAGTGAGTGATGTGTGCACCCGGTGCTTTTTCATCAACAATTATTGTGATTTATTTTAACACGTTTATGCCCTACAGATATATGCAGTTAATATAAACACATGAAGCTGTTTATCATCCCAGTTCATCGAGTTCACTTGTTGGTGCAAGTATTCTGCTTCTCACACAGGTGTATTAGAAAACAATGACCTATTCTACATATTGAAAAACAAATAAATTAAAGTATGGATGGTTTTAAGCAAGAAAACCCTACATTTTTATTTTTGCTAGATTCCCTGCACACCAGCAAATCTACTTTCAATACTAGCTAGGAAATTCTGATACCCAAATGTGGTTTGAGGTTTCCTCTTTCAAAGAATGTCAAGAAATCCTCATTAGAATAAACAAAAAAATAGAATTTAGATGATTTTCCAGAGGGTTTCAAGATTAGCAAGACAAGTGTAGCCATATCTCTGGAATCGCTCAGATCAGGATCTAAGTTTAGCTAAACTATAGCCTAAAAATCAGAAATTATCCTTTTTTTTTCTTTTTAAGTGTGTTGTGTGTTCTTCCTAAATTCTATCAAAGAAAAACATTTTTACAAGACAATTTTTTAAAAGCTTAAATTGGAACTTTTAATGTTGACAAAAATGTTGGCTTTATTTATTGGACAATAATGTAAATCTCCAACGCTCCTCCTTGTGACCCACTGTCCTGCATGTTTTAGCARGTTACCTACTGGTAATTCAACACACCTGAATGAAATAAATGAGTGATTGGTAGGCTTCTGCTAAACTCAATGATATTCTGATTAGATCATTTAATTATTTGAATAGGGAAACAGGTAAAACGTGTTGAAGACCTCTGATGTAGATACATCGGTTACACTGAAAACATGATGAACAAAATGATATTCTTTTCTTTAAAAATTGCTAAAAATGCCAGATTTTTTTATTCAAGGTGCAGTTTAAAGATAAAATAAAGCTGAGCTCCTGCTTTGCAGTTTTGGCTTTTGGCTAAATTTAAACAATGTCATCAAGTTGGGTAAAAACGCATTATTTACCAAAACAGTGGCGCACTTATTCACTATAACTTGAGTTTTAATATTCTAGAAAATGTCCATGTTTCTATTAAATCAAAATCTGAAAACAACTGAATATTCCACCTACTTCCAGACTCCTAGTGACAGATGGACAATAAAACACGCCGGGTCTATCTGCTACAGCTGAGAGCCGTGCAGCTGATGGAGCAGAAATAAATATTTTATATTCTGCATGATCATTTGGAGTGTGTGGGTTGCATTGTAATGCTGCACCATATCCAGTTTTTACCTTTAATATCACCTAGTTGCACAGACGCACCGGCCTCCCCTCTCATCCCTCACACCGGTCAGAGGACAAACACTCAGCTCTCTGCGTGGTTCCTCCTGTCCCCTCACGCAGCTCCTTCTGCATCCCGACCTTGGCTTGTTTTGATTTCTGATTACTATGCAAACACGCTCATCATCGCAACCTGAGTGAAGGGGAGAACACTCGGCCCCGTTCAGACATAATGACAGCACGTTATTCAGGACGCAGATTAAACGCTGCCTCCTCCGGAGACTGAATGGCACTGATGATTTCTCACAATAATTTATGGTGTTTCCTCAGAACCGTTAACGTGACAAGATTAAAGGCAGATATATTTATTTCAGGAATGTGTTTTTTTTCCCGTCGACACTTCCGGTGAAATATTTCTGTTTGTTACCTGCGAGCTCATGCTGTGAATGTAAAGACAAAGACTTTCTGCACTAAGCTTCTTGACAGCCATTCTTTTTTTTCTTTTTTTTAAACAAAGGAAACCGTTCTAAATGTAGTGTCTGTGAACGTGATCTGGGAATAAACAGAACTATATTTTATGTTCTCACAGTTGCACACTGCTAATCCAAAAGTCTCTTTTTTTCCTTGTCCTCAGATGCTGCAGGAGGTTGTAGCTAAAACACTTAAACACCACGGGATCTCTGTCGAGCACGAGTGCTTTAAGGCCTGCAGCAAAAGACTGTTTGATATCTCCAAGTTCTATCTCAAGGTTGGTTTTTTAACTGCCCTCACACTGTCATGGCTTGGCTTTTGTTGTAAAGTTTGTTTGTTTGTTTGTTTGTTTGTTTGTTTGTTTGTTTGTTTGTTTTTTAATGTCTGGTGTTACATTTCATGCAGGATCCCTTTAAGAAAATCATATGTTGAGCTAAATCAAAAGCAGTTTTTGTTTTTCCAATGCGAAGAAATGCAATTTTTTTTGCTTAAATATTTTCATATTTTAATACTGAATAATTTTAAGATGTTAGATAGAAAGTAAATGAAGTTTGTGCTACAACAAGTGTTGTGTGGCAGGAACTTGGTGGTAAAATGTCATCATTTACATGTTTTTATGTGTCATCACAACATGTTAAGAGTTTTCTTGCTACTCTTCATTAACGCTGGTTAAGAGCATTTTTCTTGGTTACTTTTTCAAAAAAGACTGGGGTGACAASATAAGAAGTTACAGCAGAGTGGTGTTAGTTGATCTAGTTTAGCACCAACATTATCTTAAGAGGGGTCCCCGTCACTGAAGGATTTGAATACTGAATGTTTGGAGTTTTTGAGATGAGGATTTAAAATCAAATTAAGCTTCATGTCTTTGCAATTCACATATTGATTAAATGATTAATGAGTGAATTACATCAAGGCCAAATAAAAACAGATCCATATCATCATCATTGTGTGGATCGATATCCCACACAATGACTGTTAGATGGGAGTATGATATTTCATCATGAGGTCTGTCATGATAGCATATTTGGCTGGACGATAAATTGTCTCAGAAGTTATTGTGATAAACGATAATATTGCTTGTAGACCATTTTAAACTAATGTAATGATACCCCTGGCACGAGAGCTCACTCCTCCCTACTCTGAGTAGAAAAGAGGAAGACGTGAAGAAAACAAACAAGCAGACAAATGAAAATTAACGCCATTTTAATTGATCAACATTTTCCTGTGCATCATGTTGATCACAGACTTATGAATTGAATTGAATCTAATTTGTWTGATGACAGATTTGTGATATCCAGAAACATTGTATCGTTATCCAAACAAATTGATATAATATCGTATGTGTTGGGATTAATATATTTCACAGCTGTAAGTCAGTGTAGTCCAGATCTTGTATATTTTTAGTGTAACAAAATAAAAAATTGTATTAACCAAATAATAAACTTGTTAAACTGCATCAAATGTAGTCATTCTGTAAAAATATCTTGTATAAAACCTGCTGAAACAAAAAGCTCTTCTTGCTGTTTTTTTCTAAAAACTTGTGTTTTGTCGAGCGACTCTTTACAGCTTTGTAAAATTATCACACAACACGAGTATTTGTCAGTACCTTGTAAATTTTCTTTAGCTCTTTAAAATGATTTGGCACCGGTACAGTTTATATGAGAGCTGCAGGGACCTGTGTTGATCATAAATAAACTGGAAATAAAACTTTCTGCTTCATAGCGAACCTGTTTTGCCCACATACACCTCATGTGTTTGGGCGTTGCTGTGGATTTCCACATTGTTTGAGTTTAGTTTGTGTCTTTGGTTTCATCCCAGGATCTGACAACATCACGGGGTCTGCATGATGAGATGAAGAAGGCGGCCAGTAACAACGTCAAACAGGTAATATATCACCAGGATATATATATATATATATATATATATAT